TACATAAAGTATAATGTTACTACTATTCATTTTGAAGAACCACAGAGTTAAATGAAACTTAACTAGGGTTATGTAGCCACATAGTTTGAATTAAGTTTGAAGCCATATTGTTTGTTTATGTTAATGCTGTAAAACAATCAGTGTTAACAATTTAGCCACTAGGAACTGAACTCCCCAGCTTCTTTACCTTGTTTAAAAATATAAAAAGAACTTTGCAAGAGTTTGATTGCTTGTATATATAGGTTTAGAGAAGTGGAGACAGGTTGAACCAGAATAAAACAAGGACTAGCAAGGAGTTAAATCAGAATAAAGCAAGGACTAGCAGTCTCCCCCCCCCCCCCAAAAAAAAGGGGTAGGGTTAGGGCAAGCTAGAAATTCAGTGAACTCCAAAGGATGGAATTTGTCCAACATTCTTTGTTGAGTGTCCATTGCAAAATTCTTGTTTCCAACCCCAAGACAAAAGCACAGCAAGCAGCTGAGCTGTGTGGGGAAGCCCTGTCTTGAGTCGTGGATTTGCTTTGCTTTGCTTGATTACCTTTTTAATGCATTCAGATTTTGCACATAATGTCAGCCATCACAGAATAAGGAAGAGAACAATTATTTTCAGGAAAAAAAATCTCAAAATAGACAGGTGGGTTCAGCAAATGCACAAACTATAATTACTTGTATAGGTTTAAGCTATGGGATACTCAAGGCTCATTATTTAATCTAATGAGATACATTTGTTAGAAGCCTAAGTGGTGCTGTAACAAATCATTGATGATACTTATATACCAAAAGTGAATTGTGTGTAAAAGGCTTTGGAGTAAGGAGTGATATGAGCTATCTGAAAAAATTACCGCATTTTAAAATTAAATTAATGTTGTTCTTCACAAAAGAAAAAAATGACATGAATAGTCATATATTATTCAGTTAACGTAGCATATATAGTCGTATCATACTATACAGTTAATTTGTTTACATTTAAGGAAGTTTGTCTAATGTTAAAAATTAAAGCAGTGGAAAATGAAATATACAGAATAGTATATTTAGTTTCTAAATAACCTTACAGTTGACACTGCTGGTAATAGAATGCTTGTTTAAAAATGAGAAGAGAGGTAAATTTTTAAGACAGTTGATGGAGGACAGAGAACTTTTTCCAAAGCTAAGAGCACACAATAGCCATTACCTTTGGTCTTTTGTTTTAATATGGCTAGTATGTAATTCAAAATAATATCAGCATCTACAAAAGCTAATCCATCCAAGATAATTAACCTGTGAGACTCAGTGTGGTGTAGTGGTTAAGGAGTCTCCAGGTCAAAACCAGACTCTGCCATGGACATTTACTCTCTTTTAATCCAATTTACCTCATAGGGTTGTTGAGGGGAAAAATTGGAGGAGGGACTGCTGTGTGGACTGCTTAAGCTCCTGGAGGAAGGGCATGTTATAAATTTAATGAACAAATAACGTTTGTCCAAAAGGGTGTCATAATAGCACAAGACTATATCATTTGAATCCGTGTTACTTTATCATCTTGAACAATTAGTTAAATTTTCTGTTTTCTCCTGAAAAGATGTATACATGTGGAATATGCATGAAATAACATTTTGGATCAACAAATCAAAATTTTAATTCTATAGAAATCTGATTTACATATGCCAAAATATTCTTCCATTGGCATTGATGGAATCAAATTCCTTATTTCATGCCTCTCTATACTCTTGAATATCTAATTTGTATAAAATAACCACTTATAAATAATTATTGCAAGCTTATTATTTTACAATTTACTGTAGAGAGTTCTGAAGCATTTTGGCCTATAGATCCATGCCTAGATGTTAAAAGATGTTGTAAAAGCACTCTGTATTTTTTGATAAATGATATTTATGTTGTAAATCCTCAAGTAGTAAGACGTTATCACCTAGTCTTAATTGAGCCAGAGCACCACCAGCTGATCTGTTATTAAACTAGGGATCAGCAGTTGGTAAGCACAGTCCATCCTTTGATCCATCCTCCAGAGGGTATCATCTAACCTTCCATTTATAATTTCCTAGTAGTCCACTTTGGAGAATTATATTAGAGTTCTAGCCCTTCTTGAAAATAGCCTTCAGAAATGTTGCTGATTAGATATAATAGACCTCCACAGTGCCCCTGTTTAGCCCTACTATTTAGTTGTAACCAAATTCTGAATCATCATAATGTCAACAGTAAATTTAGGACTTGTAACGTCAGTCCTGCATAGCACTTCATACATGATTGTGTTACTTTGTGGTCACCTGTAGATGTACTTCATAATGCACTGCAGAAAGTTGTTATTGTTACTGAAGTTTATTTATTTATTTATTTATTTATTTATTTAATAGGCTTGTCCCCGCCCATCTCCCCACA